ATCGAAAGAAATCTATGCTGAAGTTAAAAAACTATCTGCAGAACTTCTTCAACATGGTCATCAATATGATTCAAGTTGGATCACACGACCTTTAAATAAAGATGAAACTGTCGAATCAGCTCTTTGTGGACATAGTGAACGTCTTGCAATTGCTTGGAATTTTGTTGCAAATCCTAATGCATCACGAATTCAGCTGACGAATAACCTTCGTCTTTGTGGAGATTGTCGTACGTAACCATTTTAATCGTTTTTTTTATTTCTAATTCTTTCTCCATAGATCGTGCAACTAAATTAATTGCCGCAATTCGTAAATGTAAAATAATTGTACGTGATGCAAATCGTATTCATCACTTCACCACCGATGGAAAATGTTCATGCAACGATTATTTCTAAAACATAAAGTCAAGCTCTTTTTTTTTGTATGATATCTGTCTTTTTCATCAAATAAAAATAAAGTCTTTAATCTTAGTTATTGAAATATCTGACAAATTATAAAACCTTTACTTTAATAATCACGATAAATTATTTATTTTACTTCAACGAATGTACACTTAATAAATATTAACATTAAATATATTTAAAAATTATAGTAAAATCTATAAACTATCAAAACTTGTTGAAAAACACGTATGTTAATCACAATACACGGTTTTAATATAATTATTATTTTACTTGAATCTAACATAGTATTTATATTTATCTTTCGTCTATAAATTATTCTGGTACTCACATTCTTCATTATCGATAAAGCATCAAACAAAGAGTAAATAAATCTTTTGCATTATCACACGAATAATATATTTGATGAAGATGATCGGTATCTTCAATTCTCAAATTTTGGCATAGATATATACAATATAAAGCTATTCCATAGAAGCATTTTATAAATTTTCAGATAGTCTATTATAATACATAATGACATCATATGAAACATTCAATTACAATAACTCAGAATGTCTCACTGGTCTGTGAATAACATACTCATGCATTAAAGAAAGTGCAAAATTATTATAGTAACTACTGAAGTAGATGTCTCAATTGATACTTGATATATTAAAAATAAATCAATTAATTAAAAAATTCGTCATATGTAATTAAGATATTTCTTTCATATACGACTCACTATCTCGATGAAAAAAAAAACGAGTCATTTTTTTTCAAGAATTAGATTTCTTCTCGTAAATTAAATTAATAGTAGTTCAAGAAATAATATAAATAAAAAGATACAGGAAGCTTTTTTTTATAAAATTCTATTTTACATTTAATTTATTTCAAATTCACTGGTTTAAAGAATATCTTCGTGCATCAATAAAATTCTATTTTATGTAAATCATGTGCTCGAGTAAGTTTTATATGTACTAATAATTGATAGTTCGTGAGAAAAATATTAATCATATTCTTCTAATATTTATCATAACAAGATTCTTTCGAACTATCAAATTATATATTAAATACAAATGACCTTGAATTTTACTTATGTATATACGTACGAAAATTTTTTATTAGTATAAAAAAAATTCAAAATAAAGATAAATTATATCAAGGACAAAAATATAGGTATACACATTAATTATTCATATAAGTACATATATCGAAAATATAAAATTATTTTGCTTTGGTGATATATCAGTCAGCGATTGATATTATATTAAAATTATCATATTTATTTATCGATAAAGAAAATAAATGAAAAACATATATATTAAATACGACTTAGTAAACATGTTTTGATATTCATTTAATCTGTATGATATACATGTATGGAAAAAAATTAATTGAACTAATTTTGAGATTTATTTATTCTAGTTTATAAGCGCAAAAAAAAACTTCTCAATATAGGATAAAAATAGTGTTAACAGAATCTTTGGATATTATAAATTCAATAATGTCAGTCAGTTATCTACGAATGATATATATATAGTTCGAGATTAACATCCCTACTCTACACTAATCTCATTCAGTCTGATCCTTAGTAGTAAAATAGTATCAATATATTGGATTCAAATAGCGGATTTAAACTAAATAGCCCTAAAGATATTTTATATCCATTAAAAGAAGAAAAAAATAACTATAAGCACGTTCTTATTATTCTCTCTTCAAAACACACGATATTACAATGCAAATATATTTCTTTTCTTCGTCGCTATTTTCTTAAACGTATCAAATTCTTTTGTTTTTCAAAACATATATATATATTTATATAAGTTGTATTATTAAAGTCATCAGACATCAATTGTCTATTATTTTATATTAGAAATATAGAAAAACAAAATAAGAAAAAATCTAATATAAATAATTACTAATTTTATATTTGCAAAGAGAAAAAAAACAAAACATATTGTATCGACATCAAATGATAATAAACGACATTGTTATATTTCTTTTGTCAAAAGTTAAAAAAAATATATCATGTGTATCATAATTGCATAAATAACGAATAAGATAAATGAGAAATCATTGAAGCAAATCTTAAATAAAAACGGAGAGCGCAATAGAGAGGGATCAAAACAAACTTACTTACCTGTACTTATTTTTCTCTCTTTTAATCATATACCTTGATATATAGATTTTTTTATAGTCGATTTACTCTAAGCTTTATGTGTTTATTAGTTTTGTTTTACTTTAATATTTCTTAGTTCTATTTATCATATCATGTATAACAGTGCACTTACAATTCCTTATTATCGGTATTTTGTTCTTAATCTCTTTGATTATTGAATAAATATATATAGAGGACTAAACTAATTATTTCAACACGATTGGTTTTATGTATAATTAGTAGCAAACAAAAAAAAAAGAGGCGATCGATATATAAGAAGATGCATTGAGTGTTTTTTCTTGTCTTTACTTTGCTTAGTTTCATATTTTCTTTCTTTTCTTCTTCTTCTTCTTTTTTTTGTGTGACTCTTCCTTCGTCTTTCATTCGAAATATGAGAATACCAACAAAAAACATTGTCAATTATACTAAAAACAATCGTTTGTCTTCTTCTATTCTCATATTTTTCGTTTATTCGGAGTATTTTATTACACATTGAACATGCACTTACTCTTATTTTATAGATTTTATTTATAGAAAAAATGGGTAATAACGGACAACGGATAAAATATGGTAAACAATTAACTGATGCTAATGTTGCTGAATTATCAGGTCTATCCGGTTTTACACCAGATCAAGTACGCGATTGGCATGCGGGTTTTTTGGTAAGTGCATTATATTTTATCGATAAATAAAATAAATTGTTCGTATATTATACTTATAATTAGCATAATATCGATAAACACACGAGTTTAATGTTGATTATAGAAAGAAAATAAATGATCTGAAAAATGTTTTTTTTTGCATACTCAATCGTATTGTTATAAGTTTCGATTAAGATTATGTTAACATATCTAAGTAGTAAATTTTAAATTATTTGTCAAGTAATATATTTCAATTGCTCTTCAATACAAATAGAAGAGAATGACTACATGCAATATATTATTCATCATAATCATTCTTATCCGTATGATCATTTTTTACAAGAAAAATGCAAATCATAGACAGCGAGAAAAAAAACTTGTCAGAAATAATTAATAAAAATCGATTTTGTACGCTTGACGAACATGTCAAAAATATTTCGTTTAGCAATGCAATTATTATATCTTATTATTCTTTTATGTTCTAGAAAGATTGTCCAACTGGAAAATTAAATAAAAAAAAATTCGTCGACGTTTATAAACAATTTTATCCGTCAGGAAAAGCTGAAAAATTTTGTGAATATGTTTTTCGTACATTTGATAATGATAGTTCAGGCAATATTGGTATGTCAACTATTTATTAAAAGATAAAATCTTAAAATCAAAACAAACATATTTAGATTTTGGTGAATTTTTAATTGCAATTTCAATAACTGCTCAACAAGAACCAAAGAAAAAATTAGAATGGGCATTTTCAATGTATGGTATGTATTGAATTTTTATATTTTTCTCTAAAATTTGCATTTCTTAATCATTGATTATAGATATTGATCGTAATGGTTATGTTGACAAGAAAGAAATGAAGAAAATTATGGAAGTAAGAATGAGATTTAATTTTTGTTTTTTGTATATAATTTGATTTTGTTTTAAAAGGCTATTTTTGATCTTCTTGGTGAGGAAAGAAAAGGTAACAATTCGCCAGAAGTAAAAGTCGATCAAATATTTCAAAAAATGGATGCAAATGGTGATGGAAAATTATCAAAAGAAGAATTTGTTAATGGTTGTTTAGGAGATGATTATTTAAGAAGATTACTTGCACCATCAGCTTCTTAAATAAACTTATATTTCTATTTCATATTTTACTTATTATATTCTATTTCTTCTTTCTTATATGCGTACTAATATAAAAAATAATAACGAGTACGCACATTTATTC